CCTCCCGCTCCTCCCATTCCTCCCACTCCTCCCGCTCCTCCCGCTCCTCCCGCTCCTCCCGCTCCTCTCGCTCCTCCCGCTCCTCCCGCTCCTTGTGACCTCCTACCGCTCCTTCTCCCGCTGCTTCTCCCGCCGCCCTCTCCTTTCCGCTCCCCAATTTGGTTGAGCGATTGGCTGAGCGATTGGTTGAGCGATTGGTTGAGCGATTGGTTGAGCGATTGGTTGAGCGATTGGTTGATTGATTGGTTGATCGATTGGTTGATCGATTGGTTGATTGATTGGTTGATCGATTGGTTGATTGGTTGATTGATTGATTGATTGATTGATTGATTGATTGATTGATTGATTGATTGGTTGATTGATTTGTGACCTCCTACCGCTCCTTCTCCCGCTGCTTCTCCCACCGCCTTTTCCTTCCCCCCCCCCCAATCAATCGATTGGTTGATTGATTGGTTTATCGATTGGTTGATTGATTGATTGAAAAGCAAGAAACAAAAAGGAGAACGGGACAATTTTGTTTACTTTGTTTTCGATTGATCAATCGATCAATCAATCAACACACTCCCGTGCCTGCCATCCACCAAATCAGTCAATCAACCAAGTTTATTGATTGATTGATTGATTGACTGGGTGTGTATGTGTGTGTGTGAGAGAGAGAGAGAGAGACAGAGAGAGTGGGTCCCCATCCACCCCTCCCCCCCCAACTCCTTTCCTCGTTTTTATCCTTCCACTTTCCCTACCCACCTCCCGTGCGTTCATTAACGTCCTCTCCGTTTCCCCTCCTGCTCCTCCTCCCACTCCTCCTCCTGCTCCTTCTCCTGCTCCTCCTCCTGTGTCGCCTCCTCTTCCTGTTCCGCCCGCTCCTCCCCCCGGTCCTCGTCCTTCTCCTGCTTCTTCTCCCGCTCCTCCTGCTCCTTCTCTCGCTCCTTCTCTCGCTCCTCCCGCTCCTTCTCCACTCCTCCATCAAACAACGTGACAAAGATCCCTCCATAGCCATCTCCTGCGAAAAAAAAAGAAAAAAGGCCCGCCATGCGGCTAGCCACAGAGAGAGAGAGAGGGACTGACCTCCTGCTGCTCCTCCACCACAACTTCGTCCTCCTCCCGCTGCTCCCCCTGCTCCTCCTGCTCCTGCTCCTGCTCCCGCTCCTCCCTCTCCTTCTTCCGCTCCCTCTCCTGCTCCTCCTCCTGCTCCCCCTCCTCCCACTGCTTCTCCTGCTCTTCCCCCTGATCCTCCCACTCCTCCCCCTCCTCCCGCTCCTTCTCCCGCTTCTCCTCCTCCTGTACCTCCTCCCACTCCTATCTGCCGTGCGTTGATCCGCATCTGCACGTATGTGGGGTGCCGCACGTTGGCCCTGCTTTGCGCCTGTCGTGATTCGACCTGCCCTGTGGGCCCGTTGGTTCAGGCCCGGTGCGTTCCCAACTTAGGAATCGGGGTCTCGCGTGGGACGGTCACGTGAGATGCGCTCCTTGCTTTAAGAGAATGGAAAAAGAGAATTAACAGAGAATCAGAGATGCTGTACGTGTGGGCCTCATACCAGTCTGTCGATTTGGAGACCGCTCATTGCGGACCAGGCAGTAGCTGCCCAGAGACAGTATCCAATGGCAGTTATGGTGTTCACAGTAAAGAGTGTTCGCATACAAGTATCATAGTATAATTAAATTAAATAAATTTAAATTATGTTTATATTAAATTTATAATATTTTAAATTTATAATATTTTAAATTTTTAATATTTTGTCTCTGGATTGCACATGCCTACGGCAGGAGGAAAGAATGGAAAGTACTTAGATGAGTATTGATTATTTTGAACTTTTAACTGTCATGTGATTGTGTGCAGATGTGGGAGAATGAGCAAGAGGCAAATAGAGCGTCCATGGTAGAGAGTGTTTGCATTTACGTGTCGTTCTTTGATATGTTTATGAAATTTATATGCTGAGGGCAAGGTGTCACTAGCAAGGAGGACTGGATTGAATGCCTGAATCTGGTCGTGTCTGTGGAAAGGTGCAGAAAATCGAGATTGAAGTTCATTGAACTGCTTTTCTGCATCTCTGCCTAAAACACATCCATATTCAGGAGCTTAATCTAACCCTCTTTGCTAGTGGAACCTCGCCCTGAGTGTCTGAATTGCACACGCCTACAGCAGGAGGGGAGCACTCAGATAAGAGTTTTATGTGCCATGTATTTGTGTGTGCAGACGTGGGAGAATGAGCAAGAGAGGCAGAAGTTCCTTGACGAGAAGCATGCGAGAGGGGACAAGGCACGTGCAGTTCGCCAGGCCGTGAAGACAGGTCATCTACGAGTCAGTGATGCGGCAAAAGTCATGAAGGCCTCCCAAGGTACCATTCTTTCTGTTTCCCTACCCACTCCTCTTTGCCTTTTTTGGGGGAGGCGAAATTTCAAAATGCCCCTGTGACTTCATCATTTATTTGCGGTATGCCCCTCTGATGGCACGACATACCCTGTCGTGCCCCTCTGCCAACTTTGGAAGTTTCTGGAAAACCCCTGGCGTCGTTTGGGCCTGAAATATGTTCAATATGCTACTGGTACCGGTCCCAGATTTCCAGTGCGCCCTGGTAGCTCCCCTCCCAGGGCCAGGGGAACAGACGTGAGTGCCACCGACTGCCACAGGGGCATGCTGAAAAGTTGCACCCTTCACTAAAAGGGGCCTGCACAAAACTTCAGAGGCCCAGGGGCACAAGAGGGTAAGCTGGCCGTCAGAGGGGCATACCAGAAAGGAATGGAAGTCGGAGGGGCATCTCAAAAAAAAAAAAAAATCAATTTTGTAATTTTTGTTATAAAAAAAAAACATCTTTGGCTCTTTTTGATGTTTTCTATTTCTCTCCCACCTCCTGCGTGTCACTGAACTGAACACACATGCAACTCATAGCAAATAATTGAACTGAGCACAAGTTCGAACACTGACGGACTGGGGCGGACATAATGAAGTTGGGGTTACCCCATTTAAAGAAAAAAACAAAAGTACTAACTGGGTTTCATTTTCCGTCATTTGCTCGTGGCCAGAGAGTTCGAAGTTCGAACACTGACGGACTCGAGGGAACATAATAAAGTTAGGGGATAGTAGGATACCCCGTTTCAAGAAAAACTCCGAAAAACCAAAAATACGAAATGGTTTTAATTTTCCTGTTGTTTGCTCGTCAAGTTTCGTGCAAAGAATGTTGGGAAATTGTGAATGCATTCAATGCATTATATTATTTATTATTTCATATCCCTTTGACACTCTCACCAGGACTGTCCTGGATGTACCTGTCCAGAATTATCAGTGGCCCTGGATGTATCTGACAGTCGTTACGGCCAGCCTGGATGTAACTGACCACACAAATTTCAGCAAGAAATCAGTCCAAAATGGCCTCATGTGAGTCTGCCCTCAGCTTCAGTTAGAGTAGTCCTGGCAAGTGTGCGTCCTCCGTTGCAGTTCACCACAGAAGATTTCAGCAGTCAGTACTGTCTATGTCCTTCCCCCCCCCCCCCCCTTTTTTTTTTTTTTCTCTTTGTTCCTCAATCGTTGTTGTTGGTTGGGTCGAGGGGAGGGGGGCTGCAGCGCATGAGCAACTCGTGTGTGCACGAGCACGGCGGCACACACACACAAGCAGGACGGCACACTTTTTTTTTCTTTTTCTTTTGAGAAAAGGGTCATGTGCACATGGACGGAAGCTGAGCGCTGAGTAGCAGTGGGGTATTCCTGGTCTGTTCTGCGGACCTGGTTTTAGGGCACTTGCGGCGCATTAAGACGAAGCGTAGAAAGATGCATAAATAAAGCACGTCCACGGAATGGAGAATGGAATACATACCTTTATCATTTGCAGCGATTATATGGTCTTAATATATGGATCAAATACATTTCGTCCCACATATCATTTAGTCCCACATATATCGTATCGATGAGATATATATCGATCGCACTACCATGGCTTACTATCTGTACATTCCAGGATGGCCAACCATAAAAGTGCATGAGCACATGGTTGAAAACAGAGGAGTGGGCCATGAATGAAACGGAAGGGTGCACCAACATAACTCAAAGGAAGGGGTGGGGCATAATTCAAAGGGAGGGGTGAGCGATAAGTCAAATGGAGGGGTGGGCCAACCATAACAGGGCATGCACGCATGGTTGGAAACAGAGCAGTGGACCGTAATTCGAAAGGAAGGGTGGGTGAGAATTCAAACGGAGGGGTGGGCCATAATTCAAACGGAGGGGTGGGCCATAATTCAAAGAGAGGGGTGAGCCATAATTCAAATGGAGGGGTGGGCCACGGTTCTGCTAGACTAACGGAGTCCTGGCCTGCATGTGAAGAAGCAGGAACACAAACGTAACGTGATCATGAATGTGTACAAGCTATGTTTCTGGTTGGGTACAGTCATGGGTTGCACTGTCTTGTGGGGGGAGATGGTAGTCTGAGCTTTAGCATTACTGGCTTTGCAACTTGCGTGGTGCCCAGTCCTTCATTTAGAGGATTGGACCTCTCATATCTTTCTTTCTTTCTTTCTTTCTTTCTTTCTTTTTTTTTTTTTTTTTTTT